CGTCTCAGCAGAGGGGCGTGCCTCTCTGTGGCCCCGATTGCCGGGCCCACCCGTCTCTTGCTGTCTTCTTCCTGGCTGAAGGCCAGTTTCGTCTATGAGGTTGGCGGCGCGGAGGCTGGGCGCTGCTCCTGCGGCGGCGCCCGTGTCTCCAGGGAGGGGGGCGGCGGAGTCAGGGCGGGAGCCGATTGATATGCTTGTACTGCTGGCTGCGCCTGCCGCGCAGTCTTCGACGTGCCTTCTCAGGGATGGCCCCGTTGCGGGGCCGGTCCCGTCTGCGTCTACGTCGGCGTGGTCGGTCGGTCGCCCGCAGCTGGCGTGAGGGCCCACCTGATGGGGCAGACCCAGAGCGGATGCACCAGGAATCCCAGGAGGGTCGAAGTCGTCTCCACTCGTGGTCACGGCCTCTGCGGGTCTCTCGGTGTCCATTGGCGCTGTCTCTGGATCTCGAGCTGAAGGCTCGTCACTCCTGAGGTTACTCGATGCGCCTTGGAGCCTCGAGCTGAAGGCTCGCTCCGTATGAGAATCTCGAGCTGAAGGCTCGCCCCATCCGCGACTGTCCAACTGGGGGGCGGGTGGCGGACGAGAGTCTTCGGGGTTACAGGAGTGACTATGGAGTTAACTGGTCGCTGCATCGCCGTCGGCGCCAAACTCCGCTTGAGGCGTCCCAAGCTGCAGACTCCCTCAAACCTGCTGTCTCGCTGGGAGCTCCACGGGCTAAAGGCCCATTTTCTGCGTGAGCCGTACTGCCGCCTCCAGGAAGGGCGGCGGGCGCGCGGCGACACCCGTCGCCACTCGCGGTCGCATCTCCTGCGGCACTCCCGACGTCCATTGGTGCCGTCTCTGGTTCTCGAGCTGAAGGCTCGTCATCTCTGAGATTGCTCGATGCGCCTTGGAGCCTCGGGCTGAAGGCTCGTTCCGCGTGAGAGTCCCGAGCGAGAGGTTCGTCCCGTCTGAGGCTGCCAGACTGGGGGGCGGGAGGCGGACGAGAGTCCTCGGGGTTACGGAAGTGACCAGAGGGGCGACTGGCCGCCGCGTCGCCGTCGGCGCCCACCAGTCCGCTTGAGGAGTCCCCGGCAGCAGACCCCCTCAAATCTGCTGTCTCGCCGGGCGCTCCAAAGGCTGAAGGCCCATCTTCTGTGTCCACTCTGCTGCATCCGCGGGGGGCGGCGGGTGCGTGGCGACAGCCGTCTAGCCCTCTGCCAACGTCCGAGGGGGAAGTCGGCTGCGCGGCAAGGACGCGGGTCTCCACGGTGGCAGGGCTGGCCCCTTCGCAGCTGAAGGCTGCTTCTCTCGGCATTGAAGCGTCCAAGGGGGGGCGCTCGGCGGAGTGTAGGCGCAAGCCCCTGGGATGCGAGTCGGGTCCAAGGGCAGGCGTCTGCCCGTCTCCCCCCCTATCGCAACCGTGGAAACCCTCTGGGGTGGCCCCAACCCTAGTCCCCCCGTCTTCGTCGGTGAGGCCCCTGGGCCAGTCGTCGGGGGCGTCTCTCTGACGGTCGCCCCTTCGCGAACAGTGCGGGCCTGGGTCCGTCGGGGGATTCACTTGTTCTGGAGTGGGGCCCTCGCCCCCCGTGATCCTGGTATCGCCGTGGGCGATCCAGCTCTGCCCAGCACCGCCAGGAGAGAAGGAAATTGGGCGCCCAGCCATGGGCAGGGGAAGGGTAGGGGTGAGGGAGGGAGATAAGTTCGGCGGGAGGGCGTCATTCCTGTCAATGTCAAACCCAGGGACGCGACTGAAGGTCGCTGTGTCAGTGTGTCTCGCGGGGTTGAACGCGTCTCCCCGTCTTCCCGTTTGGCTGAAGGCCATCGGTTCCCGTGTGCACGCAACGTCAACGGGAGCGATCACGTCCCGGGGGGCGAGGGGCGACGGCTGCCCTGGCGGGATGGTGTCCTGTGATCCAGGGTGAGGATGTCTTGAGTCTGCCAGTTTGTTGGCCCCACGGTCGTCGACTGGGTTTGCATCGTCGCCCGCGGAGTTCCCAGGGAACCCAGGACCGTCGTCGATCGGCCGCCCATCCATGCTAAGCCCGACCTGGGCCAAGCTGCTGCGTGAAGCCGTAGGAACGGAACCCAGGGAGTCTGCTATGGCCGGAGCGCGGCCTGGGGGGAAGCGCGCGGCCCGAAACTCCTAGGGGATGCCCCCTTGAGCTGGGAGACCCGGCCGAGGGGCCGGGGCCCAGAGACGGCTTGAGCCAAATGGCTACGGAAGGGCTGGTGGGGATACGCGAAGCGTCTAGATTTTTTTTCCAGCGCAATTTTTTGGGGAGGAGAAGGAGGAAAACTGAGGGGACGAAGGAGAATTTTTGGGGGAAGCTGAGAAGGAGAGGGAGATTGTGTTCCACCGTTATTGTCGGGCATCCACCGCGAGGGAGAATTCCAGGCTGAGCTCGAGGCTGCGCAAGAGGTCAGTCCTTGCTCCGTGGTGGTCTTGGACATCGCCGATTACGAGTTGCGAGGGGCCTCCCAAGGGAGGGTGCCGTCGCCTGCTGTCGGGGGCGGCCAAGAGGGGGGCGTCCAAGAGGGGGGGGGCACAAATCATGACCAGCGGCATGTGCGCGGCCCTTGGGGGGGGGGGGGCCAGGGACGTTATGAAACAAGAAGAGGCGCAATGGAATCTGGGAAAATATCATGGCCCCGCCATGAGATCCCCCCCCAGTCATTACCCCCCCTCTTCGCCGCCTCCGATGCTAGCTTGGAGTCATGGCTACGGGATGGGTTGCTGGACATTGGGCTGGTCCCCCATGCGAAACCTGGGGCTCAGCAAGGTGTCTGGAGGTCCCTGGTGCCCGTGACTCGCCACGCCCACTGCGATAGCGAGAGCGCCCCTACGCGGCCTCGAGGCCCGCGAGATGGCCCAAGTCAAGGCCGCCATCGGCCTCCTCCGTGCCACGGTGGCGTTTCTTGTACGCTGCTCGGGCTTGGGGGGCTCTCCGCCGCCAAGGAGCACACCCTCAGACCCCCGCGCCACGTCCCCCAGGCCACCTCGTCGTGGCTGCTGCCTGAGTTGGCTGTCCTCCCTTCTCTGGCGAGGGTCGGGTCCGCCTCGCTTCACTAGTGCATGTGGGGGGGGGGGGCCCGTGTGTCAAGCCTACAGGGCTCCTGTGCGGAGGTGTGGGGTCCCCGGCGGCTTGGGCGTCGCGTGATGGGGTGTGCGATAAATGCGGGGGGCAGCGCCCCGAAGGGGCCTTTAGGGCCCGAGATATGTACCCTTCTCTTCCATGATTTATCGCCCCCCCATCAAGCGACGCCCAATCGGCAACTGTCCAGACTCGCAGGCACGGGTTCGGAGCTCACCAGGCCATGCGAGAACTCTCGGCCGAGGACGTGTGGCGTAAGACTCCCGCCCAGGCGTACCCACAGCGCTCCTATGCAGGACCATCGCTTAGGCCTTCCTTCAGGCAATGTGCCCCGACACCGGTCCCATGTCGGGGGGGTCCAGGGATGAGGGTTTTTGTTGCCTGCTTTTCTGCTTCTTCCGGGCGCAGCAAGCGCGCGCCCTGGCGCCGGGTCTCGCCAGGCCGTCCGGGCGCGCTCGACGCTCGGGAAATGGGTCCACTGGAATGACGGAAGTGTACTGCGCCGAGCTGCGCCCGGCGCAACTCTACCTGATCACCGCTTTCACGAGCACCCCCCGGAGCGACGACGTCTTGACGGAATGTAGTGTTCCCGCTGGGCTTCTGCCTTTTAGGCGCCGCTGGACTCCTTCGAAGTGGAGGATCTGGTCAAGTGCGCTGCGGGTCTGTGGGGCCCCAGCGGCCGCCTCTGCTCCTCGTCTCTGTCTTTGCTTCTGCCTTTGCCTGCTGCCGTGGGTTGGTTTCGCCATGAATTCAAGCAACAGGAGGATGATGATGATGATGATGATGATGATGAGGAGGAGGAGGAGGAGGAGGAGGAGGAGGACGTAACAGGAGGAGGTGAATGTCCAGGGTGAGAAAGTCTGGGGAGGAGGAAGAAGGGCGAAGGATGGGGATGAATGAGCGAAGGGCGGGGGAAGAGAAGGAGAAGGAGGAGGAGGAGGAGGAGGAGGAGGATGCGGGGGGGAGGAGAAGGAGGAGGAGGAGGAGGAGGAGGAGAAGGATGATGAGGAGGAGGACGAGGACGAGGACGAGGAGGAGGAGGAGGAGGAGGAGGGAGGAAGGATGATGATGATGATGATGATGATGATGATATGATGATGATGATGATGATGATGAGGAGGAGGAGGAGGAGGAGGAGGAGGAGGAGAAGGAGGAGGACGGAGGGGACGGAGGAGGAGGAGGAGGAGAACGACGAGGAGGAGGAGGAGGAGGAGGAGGAGGAGGAGGACGGAGGAGGAGGAGGAGGAGGAGGAGGAGGAGGAGGAGGAGGAGGGAGGAGGAGGAGGAGGAGGAGGAGGAGGAGGAGGAGGAGGAGGAGGAGGAGGAGGAGGAGGAGGAGGAGGAGGAGGAGGAGGAGGAGGAGGGAGGAGGAGGAGGAGGGAGGAGGAGGAGGAGGGAGGAGGAGAAGGATGAGGAGGAGGAGGAGGAGGCGAGGACGAGGAGGAGGAGGAGGAAGGATGAGGAGGAGGAGGAGGAGAAGGAGGAGGACGGAGGGGACGGAGGAGGAGGAGGAGGAGGAGAAGGACGAGGAGGAGGAGGAGGAGGAGGAGGAGGAGGAGGACGGAGGAGGAGGAGGAGGAGGAGGAGGAGGAGGAGGAGGAGGAGGAGGAGGAGGAGGAGGAGGAGAGGAAGGAGGAGGAGGAGGAGGAAGATGAGAGGAGAAGGAGGAGAAGGAGGAAGAGGCCCTGGGAGGAGGAGGAGGAGGAGGAGGAGGAGGCGGAGGCGGAGGTGGAGGAGGAGGACGGAGGAGGAAGGTGGGGGAGGAGGAAGGATGAACGAGGAATGATAATGGAGGTGTATGATGTGCAGGAGGATAAAAAACAAATGAACGAGGGGGTGGCTAGAAAAGGAGGAGGAGGAAGGATGGGGGAGGAGGAAAGATGAGCGAGGAATGAGAGGAGGAAAGGCTCCCCTCCCCGTGGCCGCCACTCTGCCACGCGTCCGGGTAGTTCTCGCCGCCCACGGCGACGTACCTGGGCGGTGATGGCCGCCAACGCCGCGGGGATTACCACCAGTACCCGCTTGCTGGTGCCGCTGGCGCCGCCGCCGACACTCTGGAATCATTTCGGGGGTTGCTAAACCAGACATGCTCGCGTCGTGAAACAATCAGGGCGGGAGTTGTTTCACCGTTTTCAGCCTTTGGGGGCCTTATCACATTTAGGTCAGCTTATCGCCTTTTTCGCCTCCCGTTGCATTTTGTGCCACTGTTTCTTCCCAACTATCCTGTGGTCTTGGGTCCTCGTATTGAATAGGCTGTCTCCGCGTTCCTTCATTCCTTCCTTCCTCCTCCCCTCCCCCCTGCACCGCCCACATGCGTCACGCACACCCATTTCGGCACACCCCTCACAGGTTTCGTGGCCCCATAGGGAGCCCCACCGAAGGCCCCAATGCCACCGCCCACATGCGTCACGCACACCCATGTCGGCACACCCCTCACACGTTTCGTGGCCCCACAGGGAGCCCCACCGAAGGCCCCAGTGCCACCGCCCGCATGCGCCACGCACACCCATGTCGGCACACCCGTCACACAGTTCGTGGCCCCATAGGGAGCTCCACCGAAGTCCCCAGTGCCACCGCCCGCATGCGTCACGCACACCCCTTTCGGCACACCCCTCACACTTTTCGTGGCCCCACAGAGAGCTCCACCGAAGTCCCCAGTGCCACCGCCCGCATGCGTTACGCACACCCATTTCGGCACACCCCTCACATGTTTCGTGGCCCCACAGGGAGCCCCACCGAAGGCCCCAGTGCCACCGCCCGCATGCGTCACGCACACCCATTCCGGTACATCCCTCACACGTTTCGTGGTCCCAAAGGGAGATCCACCGAAGGCCCCAGTGCCACCGCCGGCATGCGTCACGCACACCAATATTGGCACACCCCTCACATGTTTCGTGGCCCCACAGGGAGCTCCACCGAAGGCCCCAGTGCCACCGCCCGCGTGCGGCACGCACACCCCTTTCGGCACACCCCTCACACGTTTCGTGGCCACACAGGGAGCCCCACCGAAGGCCCCAGTGCCACCGCCCGCATGCGTCACGCACACCCCTTTCGGCACACCCCTCGCACGTTTCGTGGTCCCACAGGGAGCTCCACCGAAGGCGCCAGTGGCTGCCGTCGCATGCGCTCACCGCGCCCAATTCGGCACACCCATCACATGTTTCCCCGTTTCAGAGTGAGCTCCACCGACGACCCCAATGGCTGCGTTCGCATGCGCCCACGCACACCCATTCGGGCACATTCCTCACGCGTTTTGTAGCCCCATAGGGAATTCCACCGGAGGCCCCAGTGGCTGCTTTCTCATGCGCCCACCGGACAAATTTTGACACACCCCTCAGACGTTCCGTGGCCCTATAGGGAGCTCATCCGAATTCGGTGCATACAACGACGGTGCTCACAACTGCATATGGTTGGGCCCTTCGCCAGGCCAAATTTCCCAACCATCCTGTGATGCTGGGTCCTCGTTTTGAAACCCCGCCCCCATGCGCGTGGCTGAGTAAAGGCTCTGTTTATCACTTATGAGAAACGAGCAGGTGGCCCGCCGGACCCAGAATCGGCAATGCGACGCTGTCTCTCGTTGCCTGCAGTTGCCTCCCACGGTCTCCCAACTTCTCCCGCTAGCTCCCGTCGTCTCCCGTTATCTCCCGCTGCCTCCCGTTGACTTCCGTTGTCTCTGTTGGCTGCCATGGTCTTCTATTGTCTTTCGTTGTCTGCAATGGTCGGTTCCCGTTGCCTAATTATCCGCATCCCTCTTCGTATCCCTCTATTCCTACCTTTATCCCTTTTATTTCCATCCACATCCCCATTCCACGATCCCTGTCTCTATTCCTTTCCCCATCCCCATCCCCATCTCGGTCCCTGCCCATATGCCGCTATCCCAATAGATCCCTCGCCCCATGTCCCTATCCCTACCCCCACGTATCCCTATCGGGATCCCCTCCCATCGTGGCCCCCCATCGCAACCGCGTGAATCTACTCAAAGCCTTCTGCCGCAAAGGCGTTGTCGATTGTGCTGTCCCTGGGCCTCGGGAGGGCCCTGGGAGCCCGACAACCGTGAAAAACCGAGGACTCGGTTCCAAAGGACCAGCCTATTTCGTTCCCAAGATTCTTCCAGAGGCTGGGGAATGCTTCTCCGAATGCCGCACCGAAGCCCAGAGAAAAATCTGAAGGCACATGCAGATTCTTGTGCCCCAGCCACACACCTAGCTGTTGTGGCGCTCCCCCACCCCGTCCGTCCCCTAGTTCGAAAGAGATAGAGCCTACTTGAATTTTTTCGCTCAGGACATCCTTGGAACTTGCCTGGTTTGGCGGGCTTGGCCTGATTTTGCATAAGTTTGTCAGAGCGCCCCGTCTGAGACCTCCTCAGAGTTTGCCTGGTTGTGCGTGGTGTCGGCGTGGTTTCGCATGAGAAATCCCATCCATTTGCCCCCTTGGGCCTGGTTTGGTCGCGGTTTCGCCTGACTCGGCCTTGCAATTTACCAGAATGGGAGCCTGGTTTGAGCGCGGTTTCGATTGATTCTCGACCCCAATAACACGTGACTTGCTGCAAGGCGGCATTGGCCCGTGGACTGGCGTTGGGAGAAAATTCTCCCGAGCCCCTGGGTGGTGCAAACCCACATCGCTTTTCTATTACTGACCTGCGATCGGCTGGAAGCCGGCGTCGGCCCGTGAACCCGGGGTTCGGGGGAAATTCTCCCGAGCCTGTGCGCCTTGTCCAGGAGCTCGACGGGAACCTGGCCGTGGCGACGAGGAGACTTCCAGAGGCCCAGAAAGCATGAAGAATCGCCGCGAACATCGAACATCAGGACCCGCTTCAGTCACCTGCAAGAGTGACCCTGGGCAGGACTAATCCTTGGTGCGCGGCCTTCCGACCGCTGCATGCGATGGGAGAGCAAAGGCCTGCAGGCTCGGGCTCGATCCCGCCTCGCCCCCCGGAAGCCGCGCACCAAAGGCCACTCCGGCGAAGGGCCGCTCTCCTCGGAGCCGGGCGAGCCGAGACAACCGCAGCTCAAAGCCCGTCCCCGACAACTCCCAGGGGTCCGACCGCACCCATTCCCCGAGCTGCGTCCAACCGTGGCGACGAGGGGGGCTCCCCGGAGACCACCCGCCGCTGTCCCGCCTCGCCCTCCTCCACTCTTTCGTGCAGCCGACCGCTTCTCTCAGGACCCGCCCGCTTCCCGGCGGCTCCGGAACGCGCCCGGGGGCGCCTCCCCTCCGCAGCGGGCCGCGCCGCCCACGTCTCAAGCTGAGCCTCCAGCTTCTCGCGGTACCTCGGGATCCGCCGCCCGCGCTCGAGCGGGGCCGCGCCGTGCCCTCCGGGGTGCTGGCCGGGCGGTGCGCCAGAGGGTCGCCGCAGGCAGTTTGCATGAGGCGTCTGGGCCCCCCCCCCCCCCCCATGACCAGCCGCCAGAGCATGGCATTCCGCCTCCGCCCCCCTCCCAATCAGTCGGCCGCATACAAGAGCGACCCTAGCCAAGAGTGACCTTTGGGGCGCGGCTTACCGGGGGACGCGGGGCGGGGTGGCTAGCGCTTCGCGCTCACTGATGGGATGACCCCAGTGGGCCCTCACTCTCACGTCCAGTCGACTCCAGGAGCGCTGGGCCGAAAGGTCGTGCAAGTGAGTCCTGGCCTGCGTGAGGCCCACACTTCCTTGCGAGGCTCGCCACACTTCCCCCCCCTTCATGCGGGCAAGCTTGCCCGCACTCAAAGCGAAATTGCCTCGAACGCACTCTGTTTTTTCCCCCTCGAGGGAAGGAAGCCCCCAGGACACTCTAGCGCTCCCCCCTCCAAAACGGCCCAGAGCGTCCGAACACCTCTCGAGCTTCGCTCCTGGAGCCCCCGATCCTCGGAGGAGCTGGCTGTACAGCAGGAGCCCTACCTCAAGAGACCTTCCCTGAGAAACCCGACCCGCAGACCCCAGGACGTCCCTTGATTTGCTGGTGTGGGAGCGTCACGCCTTCCACAGAGCCACACAGAGCACCACACACGGAGCACTGGAGTGATATCGAGCAGTCGCAGCAAGTGCAGCATGACAAAACACCAGGCCTGGAGCATCACCGATAGATCACCCGAATTGGGAGCGAACAGTTGCAACACATGAACCATCTCAGAGAACCGTACATTGAGCTAGGCCGTCTAACCTCGCACATGGCACCCCTCGATGAGCAACGCACGATTATCTTCGCGCGCTCGCGCCGCCACCCTCAAGAAGAGCACCTCAGCGGCCCAGGCCGCGATACGCGAAGCGCGATTATCTTCGCGCCCCTCCAGGTGACAAGCGCGCCTGAAGAGCACCAGCGCAAAGACGACCAATCCCTGCAAATGGGGCCAGCAGTGGAGCACCACCCATCAAGCACCAGAGCAGGAACCAAACTTCCCAGCAAGTATGGCATGATAGAGATTCAGCTATCGACCACCACCCATATAGCACCAAAGCGAGAATGAGCAAAACCAACACATGGGCCATGACAGAACACCAGCCAAAGGCACAATGCCGGGAATGATAACACCACCCGTAGGACACAAATGCGGGAACAAGCGACTACAGCGCAGCATGCATCATGGATCACCAGGGCCGTAATAAGACATCGCAGCATAAATTTGGAACGCCTAACTTTTATCTGGGGAGTTTTGTGGAGCCTGAAGGGATTTCATACTGCAAATGCACTCCGAAACATACTGATATCAAATTAGGCTTGACTTCGAAACACACTTGTCCGTAACACAACACGTCTTGAGCGTTTCTGGAGCCGGCTCGACAAGTGATCTTGTCACGACCAACCAACCCTGCGAATCCCCCCCTGGACCTCGATCGCCTGTTCTTTGTCCTACCAGGCCAGCGCGGAGGCGGATACGCGCGGCAGCGTGACTGGATAGCGCTCGTAAAGATGGCGTAGACGACGTTGCTGCCCCAATTTTCGGACACCTTGCTGACCTCAGGCCGCGGCCACACAAACGGATGAGGCGGCGGAGGATAAAGAGGACCACGGTCAATGCTGACACGGTGGGGAACCAGGCTCAAGGGTCGGATCCCCCCCTGCGTTCTCGAGGTTTTCGTTTTCTGGGTGGCGGGTCATCTTTTCCTCGGTGCTGGTTTCGGCGAGGTATACACGCTCTCCTCTTCCTCGGCGCCGCTTCCCCTCTCGCTCTCTCTCTACCTCTCTCTTTCCAATTCCGCGCGCCCCCCGCCGACCCTCCCTCTGCAGCCGCCCCCCGCCCGTGCGCCAACCGTCCCGAGCTGCAACATCCGCTTCCGATGCGTTTTTCAGGCCAACCCATTGTGTATTGAATTACGCACCTGTACGCAGCAGTTGTGATAGCAGTAGTCGTAGTAGTGGTAGTAGTAGTAGTAGTAGTAGTAGTAGTAGTAGTAGTAGTAGTAGTAGTAGTAGTAGTAGTAGTAGTAGTAGTGGTAGTAGTAGTAGTAGTAGTAGTAGTAGTAGTAGTAGTAGTAGTAGTAGTAGTAGTAGTAGTAGTAGTAGTAGTAGTAGTAGTAGTAGTAGTAGTAGTAGTAGTAGTAGTAGTAGTAGTAGTAGTAGTAGTAGTAGTAGTAGTAGTAGTCGTAGTAGTAGTAGTAGTAGTAGTCGTAGTAGTAGTCGTAGTCGTAGTAGTAGTAGTAGTAGTAGTAGCAGTAGTAGTAGTAGTAGTAGTAGTAGTAGTAGTAGTAGTAGTCGTCGTAGTCGTAGTAGTCGTAGTAGTCGTAGTAGTCGTAGTTAGTGGTGGTAGTGGTAGTAGTAGTAGTAGTAGAGTAGTAGTAAGAGTAGTAGTAGTAGTAGTAGTAGTAGTAGTAGTAGTAGTAGTAGTAGTAGTAGTAGTAGTAGAAGTAGAAGTAAGTAGTAGTAGTAGTAGTAGTAGTAGTAGTAGTAGTAGTAGTAGTAGTAGTAGTAGTAGTAGTAGTAGTAGTAGTAGTAGTAGTAGTAGTAGTAGTAGTAGTAGTAGTAGTAGTAGTAGTAGTAGTAGTAGTAGTAGTAGTAGTAGTAGTAGTAGTAGTAGTAGTAGTAGTAGTAGTAGTAGTAGTAGTAGTAGTAGTAGTAGTAGTAGTAGTAGTAGTAGTAGTAGTAGTAGTAGTAGTAGTAGTAGTAGTCGTCGAAACCAATTGCCCTAGCCAGCCCAACCAGCCAGCCCAACCAACCAGCCACCCAAACAACTCAACCGGCTCAACCAGCCCAACCAACCACCCCGCAACCCCAGCCAACCCGCCACCCCGCCAACCCGCCCACCCCCGCCGCCTGCCCTCCGTCACCGTCGAGAGGGGGGGGGAAACGTTTCTTACAAGCGAAAACCACAAAAATCACCCTCCCGGGGTCCGGCGGGACAGCGGGGGAGGGGAAATCGCACCGTACTATGCGGGAGCGGGGTTCGCGCCCGAAGTGCCCAAGGACTATTTGGGGCCTCAAATGCGACACTGTCGCCAATTTATTACCTTTCACCGCGCTCCCCTTCTGAGCGGAAAGGTTCCCATCCGTGAAACTGTCGTCATTTTTCAGCCCCCGAGAGAAGCTTCTGAGAGGCCCCCAGAGGCTCCAGGAGGGCCTATGGCGGCCTCGGGAGTGCCTGGGAGATCACCAGAGGGCCCCAGGAGGACCCACTCTGCACCGCGCCCCCCTTCTCAACGAAGGGCCCCCATGCGCGAAATTCCCCACATGTTTCGTGGGGTTTTGGTTTTCTTCCCTGCCGCGGCGCACCCGCGTCTCACCTCACACCTCCCCTCCTCCTCACAGCACTGCCCAGCACAGCTCAGCTCAGCTCAGCACGGCACAGCCTAGCACAGCTCAGCTCAACTCAGCTCAGCACAGCACAGCACAGCGCAGCACAGCTCACCGCAGCACAGCACACAGCACAGCACAGCACAGCACAGCTCAGTTCAGCACAGCACAGCACAGCGCAGCTCAGCTCAGCACAGCACAACACAGCTCACCGCAGCACAGCACAGCACAGCACAGCACACAACACAGCACAGCACAGCACAGGCGTGGCACAGGCGTGGCACGCATGGCATTTCCTCGGCACCACAGGGGGGGAGCTGTGGGTGGGGACGCTATCCGTTTCGGGCTCGTAAAGCGTGGCAGGCGTGGCACTTCCTCGACACCGCAGGGGGGGAGCTGCGGGTGGGGGCGCTATCCGCTTCGGGATCGCAAAGCGTGGCAGACACAGCAGGCGTGGCACATTCTCGACACCACAGGGGGTGCGCAAGGGGTGGTCTCTCACCGCGGCCGCTATGCACGACGGTCGTCCAGGCACAGCAGGCGTGGCACTTTCTCGACACCAGAAGGGGGTGCGCAGGGGGTGGTCTGTCACCGCGGCCGCTATGCACGACGGTCGTCCAGGCAAAGCAGGCATGGCACATTCTCGACACCACAGGGGGTGCGCAGGGGGGGTCTCTCACCGCGGCCGCTATGCACGACGGTCGTCCAGGCACAGCAGGCGTGGCACTTTCTCGACACCACAGGGGGTGCGCAGGGGTGGTCTCTCACCGCGGCCGCTATGCACGACGGTCGTCCAGGCACAGCAGGCGTGGCACTTTCTCGACACCACAGGGGTGCGCAGGGGGTGGTCTCTCACCGCGGCCGCTATGCACGACGGTCGTCCAGGCACAGCAGGCGTGGCACTTTCTCGACACCACAGGGGGTGCGCAGGGGGTGGTCTCTCACCGCGGCCGCTATGCACGACGGTCGCCAGGCACAGCAGGCGTGGCACTTTCTCGACACCACAGGGGGTGCGCAGGGGGGGTCTCTCACCGCGGCCGCTATCTCTCACAGCAGGCGTGGCACTTTCTCGAAACACAGGGGGGTGCACGACGGCTCCAGGCACAGCAGCGCGTGGTTTCTGCGCAGGGGGTGGTCTCTCACCATCACGACGGGGGCGCAGGCGTGCACTTTCTCGACACCACAGGGGGTGCGCAGGGGTCTCTCACCGCGGCCGCTATCACGACGGTCGTCCAGGCACAGCAGGCGTGGCACTTTCTCGACACCACAGGGGGTGTGCAGGGGGTGCGCAGGGGGTGGTCTCTCACCGCGGCCGCTATGCACGACGGTCGTCCAGGCACAGCAGGCGTAGCACTTTCTCGACACCACAAGGGGGTGCGCACGGGGTGGTCTCTCACCGCTGCCGCTATGCACGACGGTCGTCCAGGCACAGCAGGCGTGGCACATTCTCGACACCACAGGGGGTGTGCAGGGGGTGGTCTTTCACCGCGGCCGCTATGCACGACGGTCGTCCAGGCACAGCAGGCGTGGCACATTCTCGACACCACAGGGGGTGCGCAGGGGGTGGTCTCTCACCGCGGCCCTTACGCACGACGGTCGTCCAGGCACAGCAGGCGTGGCACTTTCTCGGCGCCACAGGGGGTGCGCAAGGGGTGGTCTCTCACCGCGGCCGCTATGCACGACGGTCGTCCAGGCACAGCAGGCGTGGCACTGTCTCGACACCACAGGAGGTGCGCAGGGGGTGGTCTCTCACCGCGGCCGCTATGCACGACGGTCGTCCAGGCACAGCAGGCGTGGCACTTTCGCGACACCGCAGGGGGTGCGCAGGGGGTGGTCTCTCACCGCGGCCGCGATGCACGACGGTCGTCCAGGCACAGCAGGCGTGGCACTTTCTCGACACCACAGGGGGTGCGCAGGGGGTGGTCTCTCACCGCGGCCGCTATGCGCGACGGTCGTCCAGGCACAGCAGGCGTGGCACCATTTCTCGCCACCCACAGGGGGTGCGCAGGGGTGTCTCTCACCGCGGCCGCTATGCAGACGGTCTCCAGGCACGCAGTCGTGGCACTTTCTCGACAACCACAGGGGTGCGCAGGGGTGTCTCCTCACCCGCGGCCGCTATGCCGACGGTCGTCCAGGCACAGCAGGCGTGGCACTTCTCGACACCACAGGGGGTGCGCAGGGGGTGGTCTCTCACCGCGGCCGCTATGCACGACGGTCGTCCAGGCACAGCAGGCGTGGCGCTTTCTCGACACCACAGGGGGGTGCGCACGGGGTGGTCTCTCACCGCGGGCTCTATACGCGCCAATGTCGCAGGGCCTGGCAGGCGTGGCACTTTCTCGACACCAGAGGGGGTGCGCAGGGGGTGGTCTCTCACCGGGGTGGTCCCTCACCGCGGCCGCTATGCACGACGGTCGTCCAGGGCATAGCATGCGCGGCACTTTCTCGACACCGTAAAGGCTGCGCAGGGGGTGGTCCCTCACCGCAGCCGCCATGCACGACGGTCGTCCAGGGCATAGCAGGCGTGGCACTTTTTCGACACCATAGAGGGTGCGCAGGGGGTGGTCCTTCACCGCGGCCGCTGGCTGGCTCGAATCTGTCCTGGATGGAGGATAGAAGGGTAGGAAGAGGGAGGAGGCTCAAGCAATATGGCGTTGGATGACACAGAGGGGAACATTCGCGACGAGGGCTGAGAACGCAGAATTGCGCATAGATGATAAACCTAAGCAAGCACATAATATTTAAATAAAGTATGTGGGGTTCCTCGGTAGCGTAATTGTTTTCATCATTCCGCCCCCGCGAGAGAGTTCTTAGAGGGCCCACGGAGGCTCCAGGAGGGCCCATGGCGGCCCCGGGATAGCCCACGGGATCTCAAAAGCCCCCCGGAGGAACCATTTTCAATGACACTCAGGGAGTTCCAGAGGGCGCAGGAGGCTCCAAGAGGCCCCAAAAGGCCCCGAAGAGCCCGAACAGGCCACAGGACCCCCAGCACGCTCTAGGAGAGCCAAGGTGACACCAAGAGGCTCCAACACGGGCGTCATTCCCACTCCTCCTCCTGCTCGTCGTCGTCATCCTCCTGCTCATCCGTCCTGCTTTTAATTATTCCTCCCCCTCTTCCTCCTCCTTCTCCTCCTCTTTCTCCTCCTCCTCCACCGCCTGCTCCTCTTCCTCCTCCTCCTCCTCATCCTCATCCTCGTCCTCCTCCTACCTCATCCGTAATCTCGATGTCTCC